AGGAGCTGGAGCGTTACTGTCGATAACATTGATTTTTGATGGGACCAAGCTAACCTTGTTTATTGTTCTTGGTCCCTGTACGATTGTCTGATATCTTGATATCTTATTTGTGTGACGGATTTCATCCGTTCAAACCCCATCTATCTCAGCTCACTTTAGCCCTTGCCCTTCCGCGAATGAATACCACGATTATCAATGGCATATACTTATATCATATTCGTTCTGATTGCCTCACCTCCAGTAGTGATAGTCTCACGCGATGTACATGGCGACGTAATAATTTAAGGTTGACTTTGTAGGATGGTATCATAGTCTCGTTCGGTGGGCTTGTGTCCCTCGCGCAGGAAGGTCGCAAAGTTGGAGCTTTCATTCAGGAACTATCTCTATTGACAGAACCAAAGCACTACACCAATTCTAGCGCGCCTCGAAATCACCGCTCCAAGCTCGACACTGCCCGAGGGACATACGGTTCTTCCAGATATTTGATCTCCTCGGCGGTCAACTGCACCTTGATGGCCGCAACGGCCTCGTCGATGCGCTCCTTGCTGCTGAGGCCCAGAATCGGGTTCTCCTTCGGGTGGCTCAGGGACCAGGCGATGGCGATCTGCGCCATGCTCACGCCCTTCTTCTGGGCGAGCTCCTCGACGCGATCCACGATCGCCTTGTCGGCCTCCGTCTCGCGGCTGCGGATCAGCATCTTGAGGGCGCCGTCGGTCGACTCGCGCACCGTCGAGCGCGAGCCCCAGGGCCGCGCCAGCACGCCCCGCGCCATGGGCGACCAGGGGATCAGGCCCACGCCCGCGTCCTGGCAGTAGGGGATCATTTCTCGCTCTTCCTCGCGGGCCAGCAGGTTGTGGAAGTTCTGCATGGAGATGAACTGATGCCAGCCGTTGCGGGCGGCGATGTTCTGCAGGGTCTGGAATTCCCAGGCGGCCATCTTGGTGATAAACCGTTAGTATAAGGGTGTCTTGAACGTGAAGAGCATCATTGGACAGTGTGTTTTCTTGTTTTTATGGGCGTGCTTACCGTACTGGCACCGATATATCTCACTTTCCCACTCTCGACCACATCGTTGAGCGCCCGCATGATCTCCTCGCGGGGCGTGTCGCGATCCAGCCGGTGGATCTGCAGCACGTCGATATAGGTGCCAAGTCTCTGGACACTGGCGTCCACAGCATCGAAGATGTGCTTGCGAGACAGGCCAACGCGGTTGACGAATCCGGCGTCGTTCCGGCCGCAGGCGGAAATGGGAGGCATGCCCCCTTCGTCGTCCACGCCGAAGAAGCACTTGGTCATAATAACGACCCGGTCGCGCGGGATGTTGAATTGCTTCAGCGCCTTGCCGATGATCTCCTCCGAGCGACCGTGGGAATAGACGTCGGCCTGATCTGGCTGTCAGCTGGGTGGTCGGGAATTCCATCAGAATGCGGAGAATTTGGGGAAATACCGTATCCCAAGTGTTGATTCCGCGCTTGTAGGCGTGCTCGATCAAGGGGAGGGCTTCCTCCTCATCCAGTACCCAGTCCTGCCATTGTCTGGTGCCGTAGGACATGGTACCCAGGATGATCTTGGAGATCTTGAGGCCGGAGTTGCCAAGACTGCATTGTTCATGTTATCAGCAGGGGAAATGTGCTTCAAATCAAGAGTCTACGGTGAGGGTATACCGAACATATTCCATATCAGAAGCCATGATGTATTGTGGTTGAGCAGTTGGTTCTAGTAGATGGCGGTTAGCACCGGAACAGGCGGATATCTCGTCGAAGCTGCACAGGCACCTACACAAGTGATTAAAAACGATACTTTCAGCGGAGATGCTCTTGAAAGTGACAAGAGATAGAGATAGGAGACCAGAGGAGAAGAACATGAATCATAGTGGGGACCGCGGAGGGGGTTTCTAGTCAATCGGGTATAGTCCGGAATAGGAGGTCTGAGCTCGTACTCCGCGACTCGTATCCTCTCGCCTCTCTCCTCTCTCCACTCCGATCTGCCGAAACCCTGAAGCGGCGATGTTCTTCAGCCGACTTATTGCCGGCGACTCCCTCGGGCTTGGCAGAGGCTTGGGGCATGTCGGAAATGCGTCTCGGGACGTGTTTGTAGATCGCGGAGAGAATCAAGTAGATCGTTGATGCTAGTAGAAGAAGTTGAATAAAAAAAAAAGAAGGTACAGAGTCCCGTGACCTCGTCTTCCTCCTCCCCTCATAGCTCCATCTTCTCTCCCTCTTCCTCTGCCTCTTCCTCATCTTCATCTCTCTTTCTCTCCCTTTTGCAAACACCTCCCATCCCAATTTGTCATGCTTGATTGTCTTCGAGTTTCTCCTCGGGCATGTCTTGTTTGTCCGCTCCAGGAATGTCTGCGCGCAACAACAGATACCTATCCTCACCGTAGCAAGAGCTTTTCTGTTTGCTAACAGGCTCCTCGCCACCGTGAGAAAAAGCAATGAACCACTTTGACAGCCGCCAAAGAAAAGCTACGAGCGGATGGCGCTGCTGACGTGGTCGCTTGCCCCGGACTTCCAGATCATAGAGCCCTTCGAGAGGATACCGACAAGACCAGTCACCACCTGTGCTAAGAACCATGACTTACGATATTGTGTAGCCATCCGCACGTGGAGTGGGTGGTGACACAACCCACTGCCCTGCACAGCAAATCTAAAGGTCGTGTCAGTGCTCGGGATGACCAAGAGGCTGGCTGAAATCCAGGCCGTCAACGCCAGCTGTCACTGGAACAATTGCCACGCTGCCACGGCAGGACCAACACGACGAACGGTTCGTCCTAAATGACCCATGATCATGCGCAAGCTGGGCCTGAATGCAGCGGACTCAGCTGCTCATTAGTTGAACTCAACGGGTTCCTCAGCCAGCGTCTGCAGACATCCTGCAGGGAACGCCTTATCCCTGTCGTGTTGTGCATATCCCCGCTCCGCCTCGGTCACTGCTCCGGATAATGCGAACCGCAGCCTAATCACCGAGTATCGAGAAATTCGCACTTTGGCTTGGTCTCAGTGAAGGTGAGAAGTGCATGGCAATCTTGCTCACATCGACCGGGACAGACTTACGCCGTAGCATTGCGTGCCACCGCAAAAAATCATCTTCCATACCTGCTTGTGTACAATCCAGCCTGCATTTCACCATGCCGTTAATTGTGTCTGTCGAGGTTTGTTTCTACTCAACACCATGCTAGTTCCATGCCCGTTCATCACATTAAGCATTGATAGCTATGGATAAGCCACTTCATCGACATTTGTGCCGTTGGCCGGCTGCATTGAGGTAGAACTTACTTACCTCATGAACTATTCTCTCGCTGCCCAGTCTCATACTAGGCGCAGATGCCAAACAGGTGGAGGCCTTGTAGAGTCAGCAGTTGCAGCTTTGCAAGTGTCAAACACACACCTCATTCGTATGCAAACAGAGTTCTCCACGAATGATCTTCAATAGCGACAAGTGATTGAATTTATGGTCAACATACACACCAAACGTCATTGTTCTTCGTGCCTGCCAATTACCGAATGAAAAGCGTATAGATGCCTCGACGCAATCGTGTTCCATGTCTGGTCAGCTTTGTGGCTAGCTGGAGAACGCGCAATGTAAAGCTAACGTGCTAGGAGAAGCAGGCCTTCAAAGAGTGTGAATTTGTGCCTAACACCGCGACTTATGAGTTTGCAACATTCAGCTGCAGTGTGAAAGCCGCGCAGATAGCAGTTTGTAGCAACTCGTCTCTGCCAAAACCATTGGACTCAGAATGTGAATCGCTTTGAGGTGCGACACCATGTCACAAATCGACCATCCTCCTGGCATTCCAGTCAAGACCAGGACTCGAAAACTATCTCCTGTGTTCTGATCACCTCAAATGTCTATATAAGGGACGAACATTGCCCTCTCCAGACGTCTTTCATCATTAGCACCACCATTCAACCTTCAGAACAACAAGGTCTTCCTACTCATTACCTCAACACTAAACCAGAGTCCCAACTCACTCAAGCAAGATGGCCACCGCAGTAACCCGCTCTACTCCTGCTCCTGCACCCGCGATGATGGCACTCCAAGCCCCCCAGCTCGGCCTTGCCGACGACGAGCTCCTGGCCCTCTTCCGTCGCGTCACGATCAGTGGCTCCGCGGGCCACGACGTCTCAGAGACCCAGATCAAGAAGGCCTTCGAGCAGGAGGTCAGCCGGCCCCTGGGCCGTCAGGTGCTGGAGGCCTCGCTGCGGGACGCGCACGAGTGCTCCTGCTACCACTGGAACTACCACGACCGGATCCGGGGCAAAGTCGACATCAGCCGGGTCGACTTGAGCTTCGATCTGACCTCCCAGAGCATGGGGCAGTCGGTCCGGGGCGAGGTGGCGGGGTTCTTCCGGGTGAACCATGCTTACATCAAGTGAGTACCACCAGCATTGATTCTCTTGTGCAATGGACAGGCCCCGTCACATTTGTACTGTCTTGAGAATCTGAACATCACATCTCACAATGATTAGCGCAACCGTCTATTATGACGACCAGCAAACCCTTCAAGGAAACCAGAGCATCAAGGTCTACATGGATGCGAACGTGAGTATAGACCATACACATCAGGGAGAGGACTTTTGCTGACAGTCCGACTGACACAGAAATTCATCATCGACTTCTACCCCACCGACCAGGCGGAGAAGCCGATTGCCCGTATCGTGCAGACCAACTCTTCCTTCACCTTCCAGGGGACTTGCACTGGCGATTCCACCTGGTACACCAACTAGACTGGTGCTGCTGAGCTGTGTGTACCACAGCCATGATGTCGAGGGGAAGATGGGTCGCAGCCTGCGGATCGAGACATGAAGAATGGTTTTGCGCTTTATTTGCTTTTCTGCGTCTTTCGCGTTGATTGTTTTGCGGTAGCTAGATAGTTTGCGTTTAATTTGATGATTATGCATGATCTATGATTCGGTGAATGACCGTAATTGAACTCTATAACAGTAAAAGTGGTATCTCAAAGCATCCGACCGAGATAACGCCAAAACAGCCCCAATTTAAGGTAACGAACTCCCATCTATATCCACCAAAGGCATCTCCTTCTCCTCGCCCATCAACTGCCTCTCCCAAAGCCCAAAGTACCTCCCCCGCTCCTTCAACAACCCCTCATGCGTCCCCCTCTCCACAATCCTCCCCTCATGCAACACCACGATCAAATCCGCCCGCACCACCGTCGAAAGCCGATGCGCAATCACAAGCGTCGTGCGCTTCCTCTTCCTCCTCATCCCCATACCCTCGCCTCCACATCCACCCCCCATGTCCTCCGGAGCGTGCGAACCAAACAAAGCCCGCTGCACCACCCACTCCGTCTCCGTATCCACCGCACTCGTCGCCTCATCCAGCACTAGTACAGCGGGATCCTTCAGGAGCACCCTCGCGATCGCCAACCGCTGCACCTCCCCGCCGGACAGCTTGACCCCCTGCTCCCCGACCTTGGTGGCATAGCCCTTGGGGAAGGAGAGGATCTTCTCGTGGATGGCGGCGCTGCGACACGCGGCGTGAATCTCGGCCGCACTAGCGGAAGGCCGCGCGTACCGGAGGTTGTCGAGGATGGAGGTGTTGAAGAGCAGAGGGTTCTGGGGGACGACGCCTATGGTTTGCCGGAGAGAGGATTGCGTGAGGGAGCGGATGTCGTGGGCGTCGAGGGTGATGGTTCCCGCTGTGGGTGTTTGGGGCGGGTCGTAGGCGCGCAGGAGGAGCTTCGTGAGGCTGGATTTGCCGGCGCCGGTGGCGCCGACGAGGGCGATGGTTTGGCCCGGGGACGCGGTGAGGGTTATGTTCTGCAGGGTGGGGAGGTGGTGTTTGTCGGTGGCGTAGGCGAAGGTGACGTTGTTGAACTCGATGCGGCCTTCGACGGTCGACGGGTCGAGGGCGAGGGCGTCCGGCGCGTCGGTGACGGTGGGGTTGGTGCGAAGGAGGTCGAGGAGCCGCTCGGCGCCGACGAGCTCCGCGACAAGCCACCGGTAGTCCTTGGAGAGGTACTTGATGGGCCAGATCAGCGAGTCCCAGTACTGCACCAGGAACACGAAGTCGCCGGGCGAGGCGCGGCCGGCCTGCACCTCGCGCGCGACCAGGGTCGCTAGCAGGGCGAAGGTCGCCGGGAAGAAGGCCTCCGTCAGCGCGGTGGTGTAGGCGTCGCGCTGCGACCAGGCGCGCGTGGCCTGCAGATGGCGGTCGACGGCGGCCCCGAAGCGCGCCCGCTCGTGGTCGAACATGTTGAAGATGAAGACCGTCGGCCAGCCCTGGATGGCCTGGTGCAGGACGCGCGCCTCGGCGCGCTCGGCGCGGGTCTGTCGCCGCCGGTTGGCGACGTTCCAGTCGGCGGTGATGACTTCGACGGTCGTGAAGGCCAGCGTCGCGATGAGCATGCTCAGCGCCGCGGTGGAGGTAAACTTGCGGTACAGGAAGACGAATGCCACGCCCGTGTCGAGGATGGCGGGCGCGATCTCGAGCAGCGCCACCTCGACGAGGTTGGTCAGCGCCTCGCCTTGCTCCATCGCTTTCATCACCTCGGCCGAGTCGCGGTCCGAGTGGAAGTCCATGCCTAGGTCCATGACGTGGCCGAACGCCGTGGTTGTTAGTTGGCGGTAGGAGAACTGCTTGATCGGAATCTTCGCGAGGGAGAGGATCATCTCTACGCCCGACTGGCCGTGCAGGAGGTTGAGCGCGATGTAGACGCCCAGCTCTGTGGACGGCGACTCCCGGGCGAAGAGCTTGTCCGCGACAATGCCCAGCTGGCGCGGCACCAGGACGTTCAGCACGCGGTCGGCGATGAGGCAGAGGACGCAGACGAGGAGGCAGGCCTGCACCTTGCGATCCTTTCGGGGGATCAGGAACGGGAGGAAGACCTGGAAGTTCTGGATGTATGCTATCCAGCTGCCGGTCTTGCGGAGCTGGCTGGTGCGAGAATTGTCGGACTCGTCCTCGCCGTCGGAGGTCTCTGAATCGCTTTCATCTTCACTGCAGGAAGATTCGATGCCATCTGTCCGTGTCGTGCCGTAGGAGATCGGATTGTGTGCGGAATGGCCATTGGCTTCGCCCAGACACGGTATCACATCCTCCTCTTCCTCGCTCTTGAGGGGAGTTCGTTGTAAAAGGGTGTGGAATAGACAGTTCGCAAGCACGCCGCTAACAAAGAGTAATCGAATGGAATCCAGGACGATCAGAGTTCTGTGCACTGCTGGGCGATCCAGGTGAATGGCATCGAGAACCAGACCAGGAATGCCAAAGAGGAGGGCAATCACGCTGAGACCAGTAGCTTCTGTGACGAGAATATCCTTGCGGAGGCAGGTCGTAGCCCATGCCAACGCAGTGATGACTGCTGCGAAGATACGGTCGGGAGTTGGATCAAGTCCATGATGCTGTCGGGAGATAATGATCACTTCAGAGATGTAAGAAGCCGATATGCACTGGAATATAATCACGCGAAGAGCTCTTTTGCGTAAGATCGAAGGCTTGAGGTGCGTGTTGGAGTTGTAATGGAGGAGAAAAGATGCAAAGGCAAACAGCAGAGTGACGGTTGCGGTCACCACGTGCAGTGGTTGGGCGACTCTCTCGAGTGCCATTGTTGGGAAGTATAGCGCTGATGCTGACCATGATAGTGCGGCTCAAGAGCCTTTAAAAATAGAAGAACAGGATTTTCATAGATGGATGTACTGTGCAGTATATCTTTGCCTGAGATACTCAGACTCACCATGAGTCACGTCGAGTCAGAAGGAGATGAGGCTGTGGCAAGTGAATATTGTTGCTGCCTAGACTGTCCATGTAACAGTAAGAAAATTCTTCTCTAATATTATCTACTCCCCGGACTTTTGAACATAGACGGAGTGCCTAGAACATCGTGGCATACTGTACCATGCCATACATATATCGTACCATAGACTCATGAAACTTTTAATACTCCCTTCCCCATAAATATACAAAACGCTAATACACAGCAAGTGAGTGCGACTTTTAAGAAGCACCACCACGACCACCAACATTAGCCAGGGCCTTCTTCTGGTCCTCCGTCAACTGAGCCGTCGGCAGCGGGCGGGCGCCAGCAGCCGTGGGCGGAGGAAGGAAGCCGGTAGCAACGAGGTACGCCGCATACAAACCGACCAATTCCTCGGTGACACCAGCGCCAGCGGAGGCATCAATGCCGGACCAAGCGGCGTCGGCGCGCAAGGAGGCGGCAGCATTGACGTCGTCGAGTTCAGGAGCCTTGGTGTTGGACGGGAGGTCGGAGGTGACGAAATGGTAGAGAGGCATCCTGAGGCAACATTAGTAATTGTTCGGATGCAAAGCTTCAAGAAAAGAGAAGGGGATAGGTAATGACTTACAATGCGTGCTGAGACTCGGGATCATCGTGCTGGCCGTCATTGACGTACTGCTCCAAGGCCTTAGACCAGGGAACGTAATCGATCTGGGGCACTTCGTAGCCATAGAGCTGCAGGGCACCCAGAAATTGATTGAAGCGAAGGCGAGGGTGACCAGTGACTTGAGCCACGCCAATCGGGGTGCAAGGGGGCTGGAAGGCGGCCGCAATGACAACGCGAGCAACGTGGTCGACGGGCACCATGTTGACGGTATTGTTGATGTTGGGGCGGGCGGAGAGCTGAATACAGCCCTTGATCATGCGAATGAGGAAGTCGTCAGTGTTGGTAGTTCCGGTCTGGGAGTCACCAAGGACGTAACCAGGACGCACGACGGTACCCTTGAGACCGCGGCGACCAGCTTCCCGCACGAGATATTCGCCTGCCCACTTGCTCTGACCATAGCCGGTTCCAAGGCCGACGCTGCTACCCTCGAGGTCGTCCGCCTCGCTAATACCAGCTCCGCCCTCGGCAACGATCCGCTCAGATTCCAAGACATAGTGGTCGCTGTCGAGGGTACTGGTCGAACTGACGAAGGAGAATTGCTTGGGCTTGCCGCTGGCGCAGAGCTTGAGAGCGTCAATGGTACCCAGCACATTGGCCGGCTTGAGGGTGGAGTAGGGGTACACCCAATGGACCAGAGCACCGTTGTGAATGACAGCATCCACACGCTGGGTCAGGTCCTCCCAAAGAGCGTCGGAGAATCCGAACCGCGGCTCGCCCAGGTTACCGCACACGCACTGAAGCCGGCTAGTCCAGGCTTCATCCCAGAAACCGTACGCCTGGCAAGTAGAGCGAATGCGGCCGAGCGCCTGCTCGTCTGTCTTGCCGCGCACCAAAGTCACAACCTTCGCTTGCGGTGACTTGCGGGTCAAGAGATCCCGGAGGATATGAGCACCCAAGAAACCAGTGGCACCCGTGAGGAAAATGGTGGGCTCAGATGCAAGAATAGGCTCGGTGCGAGTAGGGAACGAAGCGGGCAGAGTCTCTGCCAACTTGCGGGCATCCTTCGAGTATTCGTCATCGAGCTCAGCAGGAGCTGCGGGCTCTGCAGCAGCGGTCTTACGCTCGTCGTTGCTAGCGAACGACTCCAGGTTCAGCAGACGGTCGATCTCGGCAGCGAAGCCCCTGAGGGTAGGGCTGCGGAAAATGGAATTCATGCTGACGTCAATCTCGCGCCACTTGCGTCGGACGTCGAAGAACATCTGCTGAGCCAAGATACTGTGACCTCCCAAATCGAAGAACGAGTCATCGGGGCTAATCATACGAGCGGTCACATTAGGAATGCGCTGGCCCCAGATTGAGGCCACGGCCTGCTCCGTCTCGCTGAGGGCTTGCGCCACCGAGGACTTGCGCCGAGGAGCGGCGGCACTAAGCTCTGCAGTATCAGGGAAGGGCAATGCGGGCTTGTCGATCTTGCCATTGGGGTTGAGAGGCATACGCTTGAGGGGGATGAAGACGGTCGGCACAGCGTAGCTAGCAAGCTTGCTGCGAAGATGGTCTCGAATGTCGTCACGCAGGGGGCGGAATCGTCTGAGCATGCCAACCATGCCTTCAGCGGACTCATCGTCCTCAAGACCCTTCTGCTGCAGCCATGATGCCCACTTACTCATGTCGGGAACGAAATAGCTGACCAAGGTGCGCTCCTCGAACTTGTCACGACGCACCAAAGTAACGTTTTCTCTGACAAGCGGGTGGCGAGACAAATGAGTGTCAATTTCGCCCAGTTCGATACGGAATCCACGGATCTTGACCTGATCGTCTGCACGTCCAGAACATTCGACCTCGCCGGTGGGGGTGTAACGGCCGAGATCTCCGCTGCGATATAATCGATCTCTTGGGCCAAAGTAGAACTCCCTCCAGGGCTCATTTGAGCCCTGTGCTTCGGCCTTGTCCTTCTCCGTCCAGGTTTGAGGGTCCACGAACCAGTTGGTCAGGAACTTCTTTTCGTTCAACTCCGGAGAGCCAAGGTAGCCCTCTGCAAGACCACCAGCGCGGACATAGATCTCACCCACTTCACCGATGGCGCAAATGCGGTTGGGCTCGAAGCGGTTGACAACCAGCATCTGAACATCGAGCATACCCCGTCCAGCTGGAATGACATCCTTCATGGTATCCAGATAGCCTTCGTCGCTCGAGTAGCTAGGAATTTCAAAGTAACTGACCGCACGCTGCGTCTCGGTCGTGCCATACATGTTGACAATGTTGACATTCGGAGCCAATCCTTGAAGGGAGCGGCAGTCTCTCTTAATGAGGATATCACCCACGAAGAAAGCATGGTGAAGCTCGGGGAATTGAGCTGAGGCACCGCCCACCAGAATCTGACCCATGGCAGGTGTAAGGTGAGTGACAGTAGCGCCGTACTCGCGCATCCATTCGGCGAGCTTCTCATTCTGGATATCCTCGCGAGCAGGAACAAGCAATTGAGCACCCAAGAAGAGAGGGGTAAAGATATCTCTCTGGATCGGATCGTGAGCAATACCGCTCAGCATCGTGAAACGATCGTTAGGGTTGAGCTTGAAAGTCTCCGACATCCACGGGAAGTAGTATGCCAGGGAGAAATGACGACCTCGGACACCCTTGGGCCTGCCCTCGGAGCCGGAGGTGAACGACAAGGTAGGGGTAGAATCCGGACCGACCACGACGCCGACAGATTGAGCCTTCAGAGACACTTGTTTGGCCAGCACATCCTGTCCATTGACCAAGCCACCTTCAAGGGTTCCGTCGTCGCGGAGAGCAAGCGCGGGAACCTCAGTACGAAGCTGCAAATTCTTGTCAATGAATGAGCGGACCTCATCAGACAGCTCACCGGCATCCTTGGTAGCCTTCTCGATGTTGATCAATGCACGAGGACGAGCGACATCCAGGTAGATGCACTGTCTTTCCGGAGGATATGCTGGATCAATGACGGAGAAGGTTGCGCCGGCCTTGAGGATACCCATCACAGCAACCACGAGATCGACACCACGGTAGGCGTAAACCATGACAACCTCGCCCCTCTCAACACCAGCCTGAACCAAGTGATGACCCAGAATGTTAGACGCCTCGTTGATTTGTCTGTATGTAAACTCCCTGTGAGGGGATCGCTCCGACTTGGTCTCGACCACACAAAGCTTGTCGGGATGCTTCTCCGCATTCGCGGCGAAAATCTCATGGATGGCACCACGGAACTTGGACCAGTTCAGATCAGAGGTGGGATCGGGAAGCAATGCCTGCTGATCCTCGGTCATGAAATCAATACGGCCGATGGCCTGTTCCGGGTTGCTGGTCGCATTCTCCACGAGCTTGGCGAGCTGCTTCAATATGGTGGAGATTCTCGCACTGGAGAATAATCTCTGGTTGTAGTAGGCTCCCAACTCGGCCTGAGATGTTGAGTCATCCGAGGCAAGGGCTGGAGCAATGTTGAGGACAAGATCGGTGGTCTCGAAGGTGTTGGCGGGATAGTCTTGGGAGGCAGCGGGTGCGTCATAGGCAGCGAAGCGGAAGAGGGTAGGGGAGCGCTCGGAGCCAGACTTCTCTTGGATGTAGTTTCTTAAGCTGCCCAAAGGTACGATTTCGGAAGCTCCTTCTTCGAAAGCCTACATAAAACAAGATGAGAATGGGAGGGGACAAGTTTCGTGAACAGAAGACTAGACTATACCTTCTTGACCTTAGCATAGAGTTGGAGGAACGTCTCCGAAGCCTCAATTGGGACTCTGAGAACGAAAGGTCGGCCATCATCGCTGGAACTGGTGCCGATGGCGATGTCCTCATCGCCGGTCAGACGGGCAACGAGAACAACGAAAGCAGTTAGGAAGACAGTAAAACTTGAGGAGGAACCGGAGATCTTCTCGAGGGCTGATTGAGAGCCCTGGGACAGCTTAATTGACTCAAAGGCTTCAATTGCTCTCTTGGGAAGCTCCTGCTTGTGGTTGTCGGGATAATCTCTTGTGAGGGGGGAGACAGTAAGATTCTGTAGTCGTTGAGCCCATCGCTCAAGACGCTCCTGTAAGGAGACTGATTCAGCACCCATGATTGCAGTCCAAGTCAATGATTGCAGTCAGGATGGTTGGTGGTGGGGGGGGGAGGGGAAAGAAATGAAGTTTAGTAGTTTATCGATGGGCGAGAGGCGATGAGTCAAGAGGGGCAGGCGAATAAGTGCCGATGTCGGCAGCTTCTCTTTGGGTCCCCACACTGCATACTTACTCGAATGCCTGAGGCTGCGATAGAGTTTCACCGCCTTCGGCGGGGCCCAGCCACATACTCGTACTTACCAGTACCCATATGGCCTAGCCACAAAAAGAGCCTGGAACGCCTGTAAAAATGGACGGGAGCGGACCCTGAACCGTCTTTACCGCATGCAGCGTAGTACTCAGCTGTAGTTGATCCGTGCCCCGGTTTGGGGCTTTCCTTATCCTTGGAAACTCCAGGCTCCAGGTTGAGCTCCAGGGCTGCATCGTTGCGCTCAGGTACTGACTTCACACTACTCACTGTACATACCATTCTGAGGGCAAGAACATGATTCCGTTGACCATGGCTTGAAATCTGACTTGACTTGTTGTCGTGACGTCTTCCTACTTTTCCACTCTTTGCTATTATCCACTCCACCCCTAAAAGTGCTGCTGTTCGTATTCGCATCCAGATAGGCCGAAGAAGAGCCCATCATCTTGTCGCACCGCCTTCACTTTTTTCTCACCTCCTATACTCGAACGACTTCTTCTTCTTCTCGACGCTTCGTTCGAGACGGTGTCATCCCTATGTCAACATGATTCCTCATCGGAGCACGGCTCTTCTGACCATTATTGTTTTTGTCGCTCTTCTATTGATAATCTTCTCCTCCTCCCCAGCTACCAATTCAGCAGTCTCCGGCCCGGCCAGATTTGTTCCTCATCCGAAGCTTCCCTCTTTCAACGACTTGCACCTGCCATCCTTCCGTCCCACCGCTCATACTCCCCCCGAGCCTCAGCCGAATAGCACGAGTGGAGAAACCAGCTGGTTTAGCGATTGGTCATGGATCAATCCTTTTTCGTCCTCCATCACGCTCGACGAGAATCGATCCGTGCTTCCCCCCTTGAGGGACAGACCGTTCATTTACACATATTACGAGCCGAACAAGGGCAATGACGTGGAGGAGAATAATGCTGATGCTCAGCTTCTTCTCGCATGGCGCAGAGCTTGGTATGCTCAAGGATTCCGTCCCGTGATCCTTGGGCGGGGGGAAGCCATGAACAACCAATTCTACGAGCTGGTCCAGCACGTGAAGTTCAAACCAGAACTCGAAAGCGAGATCTTTAAATGGCTTGCTTGGGGACACATGGGCGATGGCTTGCTTGCGGATTGGCATTGTTTCCCCATGGCTAGGTATGACGACGCGCTCTTGTCGTCCCTGCGCCGTGGTTCCGATCCAGCTTTTATCACCCGCTTCGATCGTCTTGGGGGCGCCCTTTATTCTGGGGAGAAATCATTGATCAACGAGGTGATCAAGCAGGCTCTGAACAAAGTTGATGAGACGTCTACCTCCCTAGTGGGGTTGGCCTCGACCGACCTCTTCAAGGTGGACGGAGCTAATTCGCTGGCTTTGTACGACTCCTCAACCATCACTAGCCATTACCCAACGATCGCCGAGAAGATAGTGTCGTCTCCGACTGCAGGACGACTGGCATTGGCAGAGTTGATTAACTCGCATCTGCACAATACTTTCCAGAATGCCTTCCCAGCAGGTATTGCCATCTTGAAGCCGTTTCCGAAGCACACAACGGCTCTTGTTGAGCCTGCTTTGCGTCTTGCGAAGGCCCTCGTGCAATGCCCGAGCTCTCCTGTACCGCAGTCATGCCCGCCCAACTTACCGAAGTGCCACCCGTGTGATCCGGCGAAGCCAATGCAATTGAGCCAACCGGCCACCTACAGGAACACGACTCGAGTGTTTACCGTCGGGACACTTCCTCACCCTTTTACATTGATTAGTCTGCAGCAGGATTCCACCGACGTGAGCATCCGCCACATCCGGCGCGAGACGGATCGGGATGTATGGTTGACTGAAGTCACCAAAGACCAGTTGGGTCTTGAAATCGGCGGGTTGCCCAGATCTACGGTGTTTAAAAGGGCCGTTGCTGATGATGCCGTCGTTGGAACCTCGCTATGGATGACTGTTGAATCGTTACCCTCTCATGCCGGTCAATCCCTTCCGACTGAGCTGCTGGATGAATTTGAGTGGCAATTTGGCTTCAAGATCCCTCGAGACGGCAAGGTGGACGCCAAGAATGAAGACGAGAAGAAGGAATCTGTGCAACATGCCACTCCGAGTGAGCAGGGAGTTCCAAAGGAATATGAGATTATTCAACAGGCTCGCGAAATCATCAAGGCTCAAAAGCCCAACAACCGACCCAACCCCAAGGCTGCTGCAGAAGCCTGGAACCTGGCGGACTCGGAAGTCTGGCGCTTTGTGAGAGCATACCGGTACGTACTACGCAGCATTGGAAGCCGAGGATCCTGAGCTAATCATAGGGTCTTCTACAGGGCTCGTAGCGTGGTTGAACGCAAGAAGTGGGAGGAAGACGAGAAAGACTTTGTTGGTGCTCAGCTCAAACAGTAGGATGAGTCAGTGCGCGTAACTGATATCCAGTATTACTTGCATTACCATAGACACGCATGGCATAAGAATCATAATACCTATTTATTTTCAGGCATATTTTAGAGATATGCAATGATTTCTAATGATAAAACTTATCCTCTGCCTCAGTCAAGCTATCCTATCTGGCTGTTGTGGTCTGCCCCTGCAGTTGCTGGTCAGACGCCCTAGTCCTGGAAGAACTTATGCATGTTTACTTAGCGTTCCAAGCGACACACCCCCTCCCTGTTCCCCTAGCTATCAATGGCACAGTATGAATCCATTCTGACAACAACATAGAAAAACCATTGTGACTGATTGGCTATGTTACTGCAGCATGCCTATCAATGTCCTGCCAATACACTCCTCCCAAGGAACTTGGAATGGGTGAATTATTAGCGCCCTACCTGCGATGTACTGGGAAGGACCGCCGGTGAGAAAGCGCTCTGTTCTATATCTTCTGATTGATAATCATCTAACTGCTATCTGCATAGTCTTGATACGCCTGCGTTTCCACTCGCACTCCAGGGCCCAGAAAAGCTGTCACGTACCACCCCATACCTATTTCATGTGACATTACAGCGTCTAGACAAGGACAGCAAGACTTGTCTCTTCTCATGGAATCCGCAGGTGCATGGCTTTCTTGCCGATGGCGGATTTATTCTTCTTCATCATACCGCGCAAGACGAATTGAGGCCAGTCGAGCTCCCTGGATGCAATGCACTTCCTCCACTAGAGCTTTGGCGCTCTTATCCTCTCAATGAACATGAACCTGGTGGAATTCAGCAGTTTTACGACGTCTTCCCCGAGCGTCTTCTCCCACGCCTACAAACTGGAGAACGATATGTACTTTTCTGGCCTGGGCCAAATTATACCTCATGGTGTCTGACCGACGGTACAAGTTTTTATGGCTATATTCCCCCTGCAAAGACCGCCCTCGTCTTGCCAGGCGGCCTATTTCTGTCCTTCACGGTCGAGGATGACGGGGACAAGCCGATGGCGCCAGCGCCATTGTTCGGGTGAGATTCAGTTTTCCCTGCCTGCCTTCTTCCCCGTGCTCTCTTCTAATATTTTGCGTGAACCTCTTCTTTGACATTCCATGGTTGCTGGATCTCAGTCCCTAGTAGGCGAACGTGCTAATATCTCCCATTCTCAGAGCGGAAGAACCCCGTCCCACACTAATCGCAAGAATCGAATGCCATCCCCAGGGCCAGGTTGCCTTGAAGGATGACCTTGTGACTGCGACGCTGCATGTCACTTACGAACGGACCGGTGATGGCAGTGGTAGACCAATTACCTTCAACACTACGAGTCTAAGCCCCAAGCTCTGGGTATGGCGCGATCGGTGGGTAGATATGGAAGGCTTCAGTTGCGGTTGGGGTAGCAATACCTTCTGTGATGATCCGGATATTCAAGTCTCGCCCGGCAGCGATGACAGCTTTGACTGTCTGCATCCGGGCGAAACCTGGTCCAACACCTTTCGATACCCATTGATTACGGATATTGAGAGCAGCGATGGTGGAGTGGCTGAAGCCGGGGAACTGATACGGTGTCTCTTCAAAGGAATCGAGCTTGTTTGGTGGGCTTGGGGAACTCGAGAGGATCATCTGGCGACTGTGGTCACAGTCCCAGCCACCGGAAGCAGGATTGTGCTGGAGCCTAGGCAGAATCCTGTCATTATCGTTCCTGCCGCGGCTCCAGTTGACTTGAAGTTGGTATAAAATGAAACAACAAATAGAAGTCTAAATCAAATAGAACAATCAAAATTATACCCTCAGAGATTCTACTCGAGTGTTTAGCAGACTTGAGATACCTCAATTGGGTGAGCAGATAGACGGCCCGGGGGGCATCAAAACAGTTCATCTTTACAATAGTACCTACCAAGTGCTATTCAGTCTTCATAACTTCTGTTATAGAGCATTGACTGACTTATCTCTTCCCAAGCTTTGCCATACTAATTTCAGGGTTGCTACAACCGACAACGGTTCCACCATTTCAGTATGGCTTCTTACACTCGTCAATGGATCAAGCGTGAAAAGAACACATCTTGGCAATGCCTTGCAGACAGAGAACCAACAAAACCTACTAATATCAGCTTCACGCTCACAAGAGACCAAAGGATGCAGCGATACAATCCACCTAAGAACATTAAACTCCCTCGGATTGCTCTTCAACAGCAACCGGCGGAAGAGCGGTTAAGGCGGTCGACTTGATCGCAGTGGCAGAAACAACGTTGTAGCGCACCAAACCGAGCGTATAGATTAACCATCACCAGCCAACCATGTCATATGTGGGACTTATTACCTCCACAGATAACAATTAAGTGCCTGCATCAGCAAATGCTCCAGAGGTCAGCCGTGTCTTGGTCGACACGCCACAAGATATTGGACTCTGGCAAATATGGTATGTAGCCCAATTTGCTAGTTAGTGGTTGTCCCATGGAAACCTGACAGCATCCGTCTAGTCTCAGACTTCAAGAAGGAGAAGAAGGGTGGCACGCGCTTGTGATATATGCCTTGTGCAAAAGATCCGCTGCGATGGTGTTTCGCCTATATGTGGCTCGTGTGAGCGACGGAAAGCGCGATGCTCTTATAACGGCGAGAATCCGAAAAAGACCCACGACCGCCGGCAGAGTCTCTCCAACGTGTTCACCTTACCGGCTCGACTCTAACGTATAACAGATATACTTTTCGACTGAATGATCTTGATTCAAACAACTCATCTACCAGTGCCCGCCTGCAGCTGCGAAACCATACTCATGGCCGGTTTGCAGATCGCCAGGCACAGGGAGGAATCGGAGATGACAATGTATGTACTGGCCCAGAGCCAGTATCTCTGCTGGAATCCGAGCTGCTGCAACCACTCGCCGAGAGCGAAAACGGAACTACAGCAACAGGTATAATTGCGGGGCATGCTAGTCACTCAACCGAGCAAGATCAGTTCTTCGGAGACTCGTCCATCGCGTCCTTCTTGAGGCAGATTCAGGACTCTGCAGGTTTGCCACCTCCAGCAGTAGAAACTCCGCCGACAAAGACTAATATGCATCTAGAAAACGAAACTGTTCCTTTTTGCTTGCCGAACATAGCTACAAGGTCATTTCCTGTGGCGCCAACACCCAAAGCCGTTGACCTACCGCCACGAGAATTAGCGGATTACTTGCTAGGCTGCTATTATGATAAAATCCACAGTCTATATCCGTTTTTCCACCAGCCTGCCTTTGCTCGCGCATATAGCGCTCTATGGGCGCCCGGGCCTACAGAGGATGTGGATGACTTTGGAAAACGAATAGGACTAGGAGACTCAAGTGTGCCCTGGCCCATATTTCATGCCGGACTGAACATCGTCCTAGCACTAGGCTGCCAATTCTCCTCATTGGATAGGATGACGCGCGAAGCTACCGCGGATGCCTTCTTCCAGCGCTCCCAGAGGTTCTTAAATGGCATCTCCATGGATAAAGGAAGTTTAGCGCTTGTCCAGACACTTTTACTGATGTCATCTTATCTGCAAGGAAGCGAGTCCCCGGCACGGTGCTGGAATACCATTGGCTTTGCATGCAGAATGGCGCAAGCACTCGGAATGCATTCCTTGAGTTCGGATAGATTTAGATCAGCGGCGGAAATCCAAGTCAGAAGACGTGTGTGGCATGGGTGTATCATGCTGGATCTGTAAGCCTCTTCTTCTTCTGTTGACTTTAGAAGCATAAAATCAATCAATCTCGATATCCGCTAACAGAATCTCCACAGAGCGAGCAGCATGATGTTGGGTCGCCCGCCCATGATCCAAGATTCGGCGGTCCCTCTCCCAGACGCCGTCGATGATGAGGCCCTCGATCAACCGAACCTAGTTTCCAGATTGCCACCCACAGCCTTATCGAGAACAGAATTTTACGTGCGCACGTTGCAGCTGTATAAAATTCTAAGACAAATCCTGGCAAGGATCTTTGCGCCCTGGGAAGGTAGACAGGAGAATCTAGCCGAGCAGCCTCAGGCTGAAAGCAGCCAAGCTAGAAATGTGATGGAGCTAGAAGTAGATTTATTGGCTTTTAAGTCAGACCTTCCGGCGCAACTGAACTGGCAAAATGGAGAAATACCGGCCAATACCAGTAAGCAATATTCGCGAGAAAGTTGCTTGCTAAGAGCGAGGTGGGTGACTTGCGAACAATTACCTGACTTCTCTGATTCCGAATCTCTTTGTCAGATTTCTGCAGTATAGAATTCTTCTCCTGCGCCCTACCTTGATCAGGCTCTGTCGGCAAATTCGCGTCTCGCACGCTTCCTCTCTACCGCAATCGTCTTTGGAGTTGCCAAGCGAGATATTTATGGATTTCAGGCTCAGCTGCTCTATTAATTGCGTCAAGGCGGCCATCGAGCTGATACATCTTATGAATGATACCTCGACAACTGAGCTGGCTAGTGTGTGGTGGTATAGTGTATTTTGTAATTACTTCTGACGAGATAATGCATCACTGCACAAGGAATCCCGCTGACTGACTGCTCTGTCTCAGATACCTTTTCCGCCGGAATCGTTCTTGCCCTAGCTCGGACATGCTCCGCTATCAAAGCTAAGTTTGCAGAGTCGACTCTTCAAAATTCTTGGAAAAGCTGCTCTGAGTGCCTAGGAAAGATGAGCTCCCTTACTAAATCTGCTGAGATCGGCGGCCAGAGTCTCAACAAGGTTTTGTTCCTCCTTATGCAGGCTCAGCATGATCCGTCTATCAGCAACCCAGCCGCCGGTCAAGATCACAGATCACAGCCCCAGAGCCAGGATCTCCATTGCGAAGCGTCAGTGACTGACCTACCTGTGCCTTCTGCGATGGACTTCGGGGAAGCTCTTGGCTTGGATGACGAACAGCGCTTTCTCGGTATGCCGGGCTCGGACATTTTCACCTATCTTCTGGGAGAACCAGGTCTAGCTGGGTCAATGAATGAAACGATGAGTGACGAGCTTTGGCCTACGGCACCTTTGTTTCTGTGAAATCGAGATAGATATTAACATCGGTGTGGGAGGCTTTAAAGGACGCCTCGGGGACGCATCTTAGCCTTTCGAGGCTGACATAGATGTTCTCTAGAGGCTATCAGAGTATATGACTTTGAATAGAGACAAGCTTCTGATACCGGACAAGTCTGAATTACTTATGCAATACGTGCTTGAATGAGCACCACAAACCCAGGTCCGAGAGTCGTCATGTACAAGAATGAATAACCAATTCGACGAAGAGCCCTGGTTTCATGTATGATGAGCTGGGTCTTCTTGTATATCCACTCATAGAAGAACACTACTATAAGCAATCTGAAGCCAGCCTCTCTCTCTTTTACGAGACGAATGGTTCACCATTCAAGCCTCTGAAGTAGCGTGTCTTTCAATATTATGTAAATAAGATCTCTGCTTCAACGGTTCGACTATCCAAAAGTGCAACCAGTAAATCTTCTACGTACTCGACGATCCTCTCGATGTCCTATTTAGCCGAACGCCCATTGTTCAGCTTCATTTGGATTATTTGGAATGTCTGTCGGATCTTGCGCCCTGCAGTCAGCTTGCTGTGCGTAGCACTGAGTAACTAGCTTGATAGTCCTGTACTGTACGTATCCGATACCTTGAATACCGATTATCAACCGTCATTCCACAGACCGGCATCTTCTTCTACCCACCCGGTATTACCAGCCGATACGCCATCCGGTATTTCCCTTTCTTGGAAGCGCACTGATGCCGAGCGACTCATAGAATGCTTGAGAATGAACCACAACTCAAGCATAAGCCATTCTTTGCCTCTATTCACAATGTGCTCGCTATGCTTAAGACGAGGTATAAGAGAGAGCAGTTCTTCTCCTCGAACTCAGTCTTGTCTGTCCAACATTGTATCATTCTATCTCTCCACTACTGCCTGCTCTTTCTATCCTCTGACCATTGACCGTTGATCCTCTCGTTGTGCATTATGTCCGAGACCATTGAGACGGATGTCTTGATCTCTGGCGGTGGCCCCGTGGGTCTGCTTATTGCTTACTCACTGGCACTACAGGGCGTGGATTCTCTGCTCGTCGGTAAAGCACTCCTTACCCTTTCTTCTGTCACAGACATGGCCTAACAATAATGGAAAAGAACGACATGACAAAGCCCACCAAGCGATGTATGGCCGTGCAACAACTCTCTACCCTCGTACCCTCGAGATGTTCGATCAGCTGGGTCTTCTCGATGAACTGAATCAAATCGGTTACGTTGCGCGCAACAGCGTCACCTATCGCAAGGGCAAGCGCGTTACCTCCCGAGGATGGCATATCATGTTCCAGCGCACCTATGGCACCTTTCTTGACTACTGCCTCAACATCCGCCAGAAATACTCCGAAGACGTGATTCGAGGTGCTTATGAGAGCCTCGGATGTAAGCCTTACATCGGATGGAAACTGGATAATTTCGTGGTCGATGACGCTGCGAAGGATGATTATAAAGTGACAGCGAATGTCACTGAGGTCAGCACGGGCAAGAGCCTGACGATGAGAAGGTATTTAATCACTGGACCCGACAAACGAGCATCGATCCCGATTAACATCTGCCAGCAAATACATCGTCGGTGCCGATGGCGGTCATTCCCTTGTGCGTCGTCTCGCCAATATCCCCTTCGAAGGCGATCAGACCGTGTTCAAGTGGATTCGCATTGATGGCTACTTCAAGACCAACATGCCTGATGCCGATGTGGGTTTCGCTTCGATCGAATCCGAGGCCCACGGCAACGTACTCTGGGTCCAGCTGGATCATGGCGTCAAGCGTATCGGCTTCGCGATGACGGCGGAGATGCTCGCCAAATACGGCGACAATTTTACTCTTGAAGACGCCAAGGCGGAGGCCGTCAGAGCTATGGCGCCTTTCTCACTGGAGATCGAATCTGTCGAGTGGTGGACCTTGTACGGGTATGATCATGTCTTGTCTACGCTTTTCAAGTTGCGCAGCCCACTGACCTTCTGCAGTATTGGCCAGCGAGTGGCAGATCAATTCTTCAACAACGATCGAGTCTTGCTGGCCGGCGACGCGTGCCACACGCACTCGTCCGGTGCTGCTCAGGGTATGAACACGGGTATTCATGACGCCGTGAACCTGTCCTGGAAACTGGCCGGCGTTGTCAAGGGCTGGTACGGCGCCGACATGCTGCAGAGCTACGACACGGAGCGTCGTCCGGCCGCACAGTACCTGATTGAGCTCGATAAGGCTTTCTCGGCGACCATCTCCGGCCAAGTCCCGGACAAGTACAAAGGGCACTGCATAGACGCCAATGAACTGTTCACCAAGCTCTTCGATGAGACCATCCACTTCAACATCGGCCTCGGGATCCACTACGACGAAAACCTAATCAACAAGCCCCCGTCGGCGACCATGAACAATGCGGGCTGGAGAGCTCCCGACGCTCTAGTCTATGCCCCCGGCTCGCGCCTGCCCACCCGTCTCTTCCACCTGACCAAGAACACCGGCGTCTGGTCCATCCTGGTCTTCGCTGGACAGCCGGAAAGGACTAAGGCAACCCTGAAGACGGCCGTGGAGGATCTGGGCAAGCTTCGCGTGGCATTGCCCCCTGGGGCCGTTCGTCTCTTGACCCTGGTCTCGCAGGCTTGCAGCGGAGGTGACCATGTCTTTGAGACTCCGAGAGCGGGCAAGCTGTACTACGACGCGGAACGGTCCGCTCATACCGCCTACACCATCTCCGACTATAATGGCGGTCTGGTGGTGGTGCGCCCGGACGGCATCCTGGGCTTCGCGACTCACTTGGATGTAGAGGGTGTTGCCGAGTACTTCAGGGGCTTCATGAAGTACTGAGTGTGTGTATTTGGGGAGCAGTGTCTTGTTTATCTCGGTGTTTTTATATTCCAGAAAGGGGATTGAAGCGATGTTACGTTATAGACATAGATAGACAATTAGACATAGATATGATAGAAGTTATTTTCTGCTCATAGTTGGGATGTGCCCTAAGTCACTAGACCGGCACGTTCATCGCTACCCTAAAAGGTTAATCAGGTTGGGTTCCTACGATCGACCATCATCCGTAACTAGATTTGGCCTAGCTTATGCAGCACTGCATTCCGTCGGGGTGAGCTTGAGCCTTGAGCAGTAGAAATCAAGTTTACCACGCTCTTACTCCGTAGAAGATTTGAGATGAGATTATATTTGGTGAAGGGCAGTCGAATGAGTCACCGCTTTATCTCTCACTACCTAGTACTTCTTAGTTCCAGAAAGTAGTTAGAAGACAAAGTAATAGTTTGTAAAGCAGTATTTCCATAGATCTTTTATCATATTTAATTGTGAATACATAAGTAAAATCAACAAGACTATTGGAGAGCTGTTAAGAAGGCTTCCCCATATCATTAAGGTATTGGATCAAGGTTCGAAACCCAACCTTGTGCCGGTTGGATGGGCAATACTGCCGACGGTTGCCGCCCATCGGACAGTGGCGATCGCCGGGGAAAGGCGGTAAGAGCGATAAACCGAGTGGGGAATTTGCCCCCCTTCCTCCTTCCCCTGATAAGACCCCATCATCTCTTCATACAACAGCTATTACTAACTAACTTACTGCCTCTCACATCATCGATCGTTTACCTACTCCTTTTTACTATATTGTACGATCCCTGTATGCTACACCCCTCTCTTCCATCTTGGTTCCTTCCTCTCTCGACACTATTCCGCAACTTCTACTCCTACTTCATGCCAGCGTTGAGTTAGTTACCCCGCATCAACGTTGGTTCCGAGTGGCGGTTTCTCCACCCTCTAGGAAAATCGTCGCATAGACATTTGTTCGCAGTCCACCACAGCCAACGCAGCAAGATGGCTCCTGGAATACTGAGCTCATCACCACCGACGGTGCCATCCAAGGCCGTCTCGCTGGCCCAGCTTACCGAAGATTGGGACGACACTATTCGGTTCTACCTCAACGGCACCAAGGTTGTCCTCGACTCGATCAACCCCGAAACCACATTATTAGAGTATCTTCGTGGGATCGGCCTGACGGGCACAAAGCTAGGATGTGCAGAGGGTGGCTGTGGTGCCTGTACGGTGGTATGTCTTCTGAAGGAGCCCTTGGATCTGGTCATTGCTAAGTTCAATCAATTCAACGTTAGGTGGTTTCCCATATCAACCCCACCACGAAGAAGCTATATCATGCATCCGTGAATGCTTGCCTTGCCCCGTTGATTAGTGTTGATGGAAAGCATGTTGTAACTGTGGAGGGTATCGGCGACGTGAAGAATCCTCATGCGATCCAGCAACGGCTAGCGGTTGGTAATGGTAGCCAGTGTGGGTTTTGCACTCCTGGAATCGTGATGGTGCGGCACTTCGATATGAGATTGATGGATCATGAGCTAAAACGTTGGATATAGAGTCTTTATGCCCTTTTGCGCAACAACTCCGAGCCATCGGAGCATGACGTGGAAGAGGCTTTCGATGGAAATCTTTGTCGATGCACCGGGTACAGACCGATCTTGGATGCAGCTCAAAGCTTTTCTGCACCAAAAGGCTGCGGAATGTCTTCTGCAAACGGAGGATCAGGGTGCTGTATGGAGAAGAAAGGCAGCTCGGGAGGGTGTTGCAAGGAAACCCCCGCCGCCTCGGTCAAGGACGAGAAGATACAGACCTTCACGCCACCTGAGTTCATCGACTATCGGCCAGACACGGAGCTCATCTTCCCACCTCCTCTTCGAAAGCATCAGTTCCGTGCTTTGGCCCTGGGAAACAAAAAGAAGAAGTGGTACCGGCCAGTTACACTGGAGCAGCTCTTGGAAATTAAGGCGGTGCATCCCGACGCTAAGATTATTGGGGGTAGCACGGAGACGCAGATCGAGATTAAGTTCAAGGCTATGAAGTACAGTGCCTCCGTTTATGTCGGCGACATACAGGATCTACGGCAGTATACACTGCGGGACGACTGTCTCGAGCTTGGTGCCAATGTTTCCCTGACCGACCTCGAGAGAATCTGTGACGAAGCGCTTGATCGATACGGAACTGTGCGCGGGCAGCCATTTAACACCATCAAGAAGCAACTTCGTTACTTTGCTG